GTTTTCTAAATATAGCGGTAGAGTGATTAGTGAAATAAAAATGTAGTAGATTTTACCATATTAAATAAACACTAGTCGATGTTTTTTTTCAAAACTTATGTATCAACTATGGTTTTAAATGACATCCATCATACTAAACTAAAACATATAAAAAGGGTGTAATATGTTTAAAGAGCGACGAAAATGATGTCTTAAAAACCAGATAGAAAGAAAAAAAAATGCAATGAAACAATTGAATTCGTTAACGCTTTTAGTATTGCCATCTGTGTAAGATTTTTTTCTGTACGGGAATTCGATTGTATTTCTCCGCGAATTGTTGAAAAAGGTCTAGTGGACTTTGATGATAAAAAAAAAAAAAACTGAATTTAAAAATATGTGAATCGTGACTTTAAAAATATTTAGAATGGTTTAACAACAACAAACAAAAATTAGAATGATTCATCCATTAGAAAAGTGATTGTCATTATTTTGAAGTGTCATCACAAAACACGCATAAAACATTCGTTATATCTTGTAGCATGTACAAAATTTTCAAGTTCTTTGATAATTGTACATTGGACTCAAATGGGTTTCATGATCTTGAAAATCAGAAAAATGAGAGTCCATACACAAACACAGTAAAAATATTCCAAGGGTTGAGACAATGACTCCAGAATAACTAAAATACTTTAAGTAACCCCGGGAACTATACGTTTTAGCCATGCAACTCCAATATTTCTTTTAAGCTAAAGCAAATGTAAATAAATATGTCTAGGTTGAATTGTATGCATTCATGACTTCGAAGCTTCAGTCTTATAGGATTAGAAAAATGACGATAAATATTGAGTTTGATCTAACGACAGCTTCTTTTTCTAATCAGTTAATCAAATTCAATAAAAAAATTAAAAAGATCTTAAAAATACGTCATCAGTTTCAATTAAATATTTGACATAACCGCTTATATAAACCTTCATCATAACATAACTACACAAAACAATATTGTCTCTCTTTGCTTACCAATAGACAACCTTAAAGCAACTTCTCATCAACGAGAACACACACAAAAAGCCCTAAAAATCCACTCATTAAAACACCTCAAACTCATTAGTGTCTAATGGCACTCGTTAATGACCATTCCAACAAACCTAATTACATCACAAAACAAAACTCCTCATCCTCCGAAGATCTCTCTTCACCGGAGAATTATGGTTTGGATCAGCCGGAGGCAGCTTATACCGGAGGAGGAGGAGGAGCTTCGGCTTCGAGTAGTAGCACGATGAATTCAGATCATCAGCAAAACCAAGGCTTCTTATTTTACCCATCCGGTGAATCCATTGAAGATCACAACTCTTTGATGGATTTCAACGGATCATCATTTCTTAACTTCGACCACAATGATCATCACGAGAGCTTTCCTCCTCCAGCCTGTGGTGGTGGCGGTGGCTTCTCTTTTTTGGAAGGCAGTAACATGAGCTATAGCTTCACAAATTGGAGTCAGCAACAGGTGGATATTATTAGCCCTAGACCCATCGAATCTCCGGGGACAAACCACGGCCATAAAGACTGGTTATACTCTGATTCAACTGTTGTAACCACTGGTTCTAGGCACGAGTCTATGTCCCCTAAATCCGCTGGAAACAAACGTTCTTACACGGTAATTACCAACGTCAAAAGACTTTATTGATATTTTCCATATAAGAGATCAATGAAATGACATATGTTATCTTTAAATGATGGTTAGGGAGAGAGCACTCAACCCTCAAAGAAACAGAATAGCGGCGCGAATGGGAAGGCCAAGCCTAAGCCAACAACTTCACCTAAAGATCCTCAAAGCCTAGCAGCCAAGGTTTTCTTTCTGGACTTTTTCATATTTAAAATGAAAATGAAGAAACTCGATCTTTTATCTCATACTTTGGTATATGTTTTTTTATTCAGAACCGAAGAGAAAGGATAAGTGAACGTCTCAAGATATTGCAAGAACTTGTACCTAATGGCACCAAGGTACATATATCAGTATCAATATCTATGTCAGATTTATAGAATTATAAACAAATTATTATGTCCATAAATGATATATATGTGTTATTTCATGTAGGTTGATTTGGTGACGATGTTAGAGAAGGCTATTAGTTATGTCAAGTTTCTTCAAGTACAAGTGAAGGTATATTTATTATGACAAACATCCATCAAAATTTCTTCACAAGATTGATTTAATTAAATCACATACAAATATATGTCTACTGAATTGTAAGTAACATATATTGTTATAATCTAATGTTTGTTAGGTGCTTGCGACCGATGAGTTTTGGCCGGCACAAGGAGGAAAAGCTCCAGACATTTCTCAAGTTAAAGACGCCATTGATGCCATTCTCTCCTCATCACAACGGGACAGGAATCCGAATCCGATCACCAATTAATGAAGAGTTTCATCATAAATTAATTACTCAACATTAATTACGTTGTAATAACATCGGGAGAAACAATGATTCTCTCGATAACTTCTACGTAAATTTCAAAATCCGATCCAACGATTATGTAACGTTAAATTATGTGAAAATCAAGATGTTCTTAGTGCATCGTATATTGATGGGAAGGGAAGACGAGACATTGAAATCACCGATATCAGTCCGAAAAGGGTCCACACGAGGATAGAATCTTTAATTAGTAGATAAGTAATAATATACATAAATATGTTTCTTTTTTTGTATTTTGTGTGTTTAGTCTACGGAATACAGATCGTGTAATGGAATTTAAACTCCAAGCAATGAGTAATAAAATTCTGCACTTTTGGACTGTTCTTGAGCCTTCACTTTCAGAGAATCTATCTGTTTTGTCATCTTTCTCATCTATTTGAATTTTAGCTTGAGTGCTATTTGAGCGACATGCTTATATATTTTAAATGAAGCTCATACAAATACAATTATTAAAAATGCATTTTGACACTCAATTTGAATATCGAAGCATATGGTAAAATGTAACAACACAAGTTTTCAATATATATTACTGTTTAGATTATATTTTGGATCCTCTAGATGAAAAATTTGAGATCTGATTTCATGTGTCTTCTCTGGAATAACTAGAAGGTTTTGGGTAAGAGTTCGTTCGCTGGAGTATGAGCTTGATCATTCGAATCTAAGATATTTTCGGGGATTCTATGAACAAATAGCGGGATCTATACAAACAACACCGTCAAAAAAACCATCAAAAAAACGAAAAAGAGTTTCTCTACCAAATGATTTCCAACGCCCAAATCATGTTACAATGGAGGAGTATAATTATTCGAAAACTAAAAGTGGAATGAGTTTGGGACTTCGTCTGAAGACTCAATCCGTTCTATTCGAAGATAGTAGTTGGTAACACAATTTCAATTTTTTTTTGTGTGTTCTAATTTTGCCTTTAAATTTTTATTTTTTTCTATGAAAACGTTAAAAAACAATGTTATATTTAAAAACGAAACCGGCTATTAATCTCGACATCAAAGAAGGCTAACCATACACTGATACACATGACCTTCCTTGTAGAAGACATGTTTTTCAAATTAAAAATATTAATTGATTGGACGACATACCTAATATCTCGATTTAGCAGCCAAGGTCAGCATGTGTCCTTTGGAAAAGATTAGGGATACGTGTTCGATTAAATTATTAACAATACTCATTTGAAATGATATTTAAATGTAAGTCCAAACATTATTAAAACAATAAACTACATGATTAGCCACATGGATAATCCCACTTTAAGCGCTGTACTTGTATTTATGTACTTCCGAGCTCCATTAAGTGAATAAGACAAACGAAGTTATTGGAAGTTCAATAATTTATTTATCTTATAATCCATTTAAACGTAATTTTAATGACTCCATTCCATATATTTCTAAATATGGACTCACATTGTGTAGACATATCAATAAATTTAATATTTTATTTTATTACCAAATTAGGACGCGGATAAACATATTAAAAATAATTGTTATAAATATTCAAATTTAAGTTAGTAACCCGCTTGATTACATACATATTTTGAGATACCATTTATATATGTGGCTTAAAGCATTAGAGATTAATTTATATATTAATTCTAATGTTTTATTTTATACCATCTTGATCCATATATATATAAGTAAAAAATATTCGTACCATTATGATATATATTAAGTATATGATAAAATCGTAAAAACTATTCAAATATTATAGAGTTGAATCAGAAAAAATAAATTTCATGTGAATAATCTCATAAAAATCTATACAAGATTTTATAAATAGTTTTATCATGCATCACATTTAAATCCATGATTGCTAAATGTATATCATTGATGTCATAGGTTTTTTTCTCATAGAAATTTATACTCACCAAACCTTAGACACTCTTGGATC